CCTGCTGCGTTCAATCCAGGTTGCTAATAAAACTGCATAGCTATAGGGAATACTGTAACTGTAACCTGTTTTTCATTTACAGAACACAGCCATGTAATGTGCAATGCAATTATTGACGGCTTATTAAATACTGTAAGTCAACACACTCCCCAGTCTCTTAAATTCAGTGTAATGTTAACTAAATAAAACTGTGACGTTGCTTAATCAACAATAAACCTGTAACCTGTTTTTAACTTACAGAGCACAACCATGCAGCCCAATGTACAATGTATCTACAATTATTGACAGCTTATTAAATACTGTAAGTCAACACACCACCACACTCTCAAACCAGTGTAACGTTATACCTAAATAAAACTGTAAGGTTACATGATCAACAATAAACCTGTAACCTCTTTCTAGCCAGTAATAATTAACGTGATGGCAGCCAGCGGGACGTAATGATTACCTTAATCGACCACCACAAGTTTGGCAAGTAAACAAACGCTCGTTCATCTTTTCATAACGAATGACAGTCGTAGTAAACCTCCCGTAGGTCGTAGCTGAAGCAAGAAGCAAGCTAACGTTAGATGACCAATGCTGAGCTAAACATGTTTACTCACCACAGGTTACTAACCTATTTGCGTTCAGCGCTTCTTTGTTTGGGTCTTGTTGTATGAAGTTTTAAAGCCAAAGTTTATGATGAATGACGCAGCAGCTGCCGGTGTTTGTTGTCCTCTCTCTTAGTGCGTATGGAGGACTGATCCTGACACAGGCAGAAATAAATACAGAAATAAATAAATGCTCAATAAATAAATAAGCATCCAATTAAATACACAAAAAAATAAAGTAAATAAATAAATGTAGGTAGTAATTAAATTATACAAGGAGACATAAATGTATATATTTTAATTAGTGCCTTTACTTATTCACCTTTGTTATAATTACCTTATTTATTTATTCTCCGTTATAATCTTCAACTTTATTTATTAATTACTTATTTTTTAAATGTATTTATTTATGTGTGTTTTATTCTTCCTTTGTATTTTTTTACCTTATTTATTTTCACCCATGGTATTTATTTCTGCCTGTCCTTTTTACATTTCTGTATGCATTTCTGCCTCATTATGCAAAAGAGGAGGTGCTGTGTCTCAAGGGGTCAACTTCGGCCCATTGGTGGACCAGTCACACGGGAGAGCTCTAGGCCTTCTCTGCTTGCACACATCAACGAGCTGCTCTTCACACAGTCAGATGGCTTCCTTCAATGCGCTGAGGTGTTTAGCAACTCTGTTTGAAGACACTACCAGCCATGTCTTCCTTCTCTTTCATGTGGACAATCTGAACTACAGAGTTTTCAATTAGCGACTTATACGTACACAGAACTGCAGGAAAGTGAGCTGTTGTTTCTGAGAGCCACATCAGTTAGCCGCAGCTAAATCTGGAGTGCACTCCTATTCGAGTATTTACGGTAAATGCTCCCACACGGAGCAGCTCCTTGCTCTGCTGTTTTCAGCTGCTGTTTCAACAAAAACGCCATTCAGAACATAACCATATTCTTCAGAGGAAAAGAAGAAGGAGGAGAAGGAGAGCAACAAATAAAGCCCCCAAACAATAAAATAAATTCCTTTTATATTTCCCTGCCTTGTTTATGTGTACATACAGAGGGAGAATGTGAGAACAGCACACATTTCATCGTTACTGTGTGTTAGAGCATGGGAGAACAGTGGATACTTTTAATACAGCCCACACCCCTAATACTGTGTAACTATAACAAGTAGAGAACAGAAGAAAAAGATGTTCTTTCTTTACAACTGTCTGCATAGCTTATTCATATTGTGTAATGAATGAAAATAAATAGGCCTACTAGGCTCCTCTCTACTTTGACATTTAAGATTAGCTTGTTTGATCCACCTTCATACACATGTGACATTACTGTACAACTTGAGAAAGGTGAGTTGTTTTCTGCTCCAGCCTGCCTAAAAGAAAAGCGTTTTGGGGATTAAATGGACTTTATTAGCTGCTGCAGTGCAGGATGAACTCAGAACAGACTCATTTCTCACCTTATTATTCTAAATCATGCAAAGAAGAAGAAGAAATGCATAATAAATCCTGGGGAAAAAATCTGTCCACAAATACTGTACAGCATGTAGTCTAATGAACAAGACTTGTGTTATAGCTGACTTTAATTTTTTTAATTCATGTGGTCATAGTTGTCCACAACTCAAATCAGAATATAAGAAGAAATGTTTTATACCACCTCAAGAAGGCTTCCTATCAGAAAGGTAGGAAGGTATTTCAAATGTACAACTGCAGTACTTAAATCTAAGTAAAGTAATTTCCCTGACATTTTTGTGTTACTTTACTTTTAATAGACGCATGTAACAGGTTTTATACTTCCTGTGAGTATAATCCAATCAATCTTATTTTCATACTGTATATCCGTTGTGTAATTTGATAAATTGTGTTGTATGTCGTGCTCGCATCGTGTACTACTGAGACTTCATTGCCCTCTTCAGAGAAGACTCTGACTGCAACATGCGTCAGCTCGCTCTGCTCTGTTAAAACTGAATTTACCGTACAGAATGGAATACGAGTGCACTCCAGATTTAGCTGCAGCTAGCTGACCGTGTGCTTCTCTCTATACCGCAGTTCTGTGTCCATGCATGCGAACGAACAACGAGACTGGCTGTGTTACCAATGACTTTATCATTTGTGCCCTCATCTTGAAAACATTCATGACTTGCTAACCTTCCCGTTTTTCACTGACCTCCCCCGGGCTCCTCCCGGGTCACAGCAGGGTGTTTAATGTTGGCAAACTGTGATTGTAGATTTGTTTCTGAAACAGTTCTAGCAAACAGTTCTCTCCTTTCTCCTGATTGTAGATTTGTTTCTGAAACAGTTCTAGCAAACAGTTCTCTCCTTTCTCCCTAGTTCATCACTAAATATTCTCTAACATCACTTACAGTAGCAACTTTCTCAGTTGGTCGCACCAGCACATGATTGGTTGCACCCCTTTTTTTTGGTACAGCTATTAATCAATGTCCCCTGTTAAGAAGCGTGGCGGGGCTCAGTGTTTCAGGTGATACAACGACCCCTGCAAGTTTAATATACTGTTAGTATAATATTAATATAATAATTATATAATGTTACTATATTGATTTTAATTTCATATACTAGCCTACTAGCTTACCACTAGTATAATATTAATTCCAGTTACAGCAGTTTCATTTTTGTGGGTAGTTTTTATTAATTTATTCCTTGTGCAAGAAAAATGCTCTATACATGGTCAGAACCATTTACGCAGAAAGAGTTCAACATTTGAAAGTTTGCTGTAGCACGTCAATTTTTTTTAACCGCAGAGCGAACCGCCTACCGGGATTTCTCCCGGGGCTCACGGCGGCCAGTCAGACTATGTTATGAACAATTAGCGGCAGGGAGGGGGGTTACACTAAGTTGCAGTATTAACCAGCACAGTGTGCTCGCACTTTAGGGGATTTTGTGAGTGAAACAGTCGCGATGTAGAGCTGCAAAAGATCACCTTGCACTCGCACGAATGCAACCATGTGAAATTTTAACTCACACACTGAACAAATGGTCACATATGCGACCAAAATGGTCACAGCCTGGAGCACTGATAAGTGATTAATTTCATTAAGAAATACATAAAGCCCCTTTAAAGAGAGGGGTTTTCTGTAGGGGGCTAACCCCAAAAGCTCCAAGTCAGGGACCTGTGGAGACTTTGGTGATCAAGTAATTTACTTTTCATAGCTAGTGACAAAAAACATTTTGTAATTGCTGTCTGTATTTTAGTATAGGGGTGGGAATCTCTAGGCCCCTTAGGATTCGATGCAGTTTAAAAACGATTATCGATGCATCTTGATGCTTCATTTTTTTCTATACGGGAACTAGTTTGCATTCCTAATTTACTTCATTTACCTCAGCTCCATGGTCACCACAACAACCAGTTGTCAGAATCCTCTGAAAACTGAAATAGCCCCTCAAAAAGTAGACTAAGACAAGTAATCTAAATTATTCATATTTTATAATATTGTAAATGTTAACTTCAGTAATGTTCAACACAGGCCTGTATTTTCAATTATGAACAGATGAGATAAAAATTATTTGTAGTCAAACTGGGTCTGATGGTGTGATTAATGATTGGATGATGAAATTCACATTGATAATTTGGTGTTTATGGTAATGTTATATTGATATATTGTATAGTATAATGTCAGCAATTTTAATTATAAATCAAATATGTCGGACATGTTGGTTCAAGAAAATGCAGACAATGAGTTAAATTCTGAACCAAAGACGATAAGAAAAAGAAAATATGCAACCAGCTTGAACAACAAAACTTGGTGGTTTAGGATAGTGCACTTCAGCCTCTACTCATGAAATTTTAATGACCTCTGGATGCTGTGATGATTCAATTTGATAAAAATTGGTATTTTTTAAGAACAGTATATAAATAAAAAACATTCCATGCTGCAGCACCAACGCAGACTAAAAATTAGAACTGAACTAATTTATTGATAAAATAAAACTGTCTTCTTTATCTATAATTCAGATCTGAGGGAGCGGTATTAGCCAGTAAAATGTGTGCACCCCTCTGTACCCAAAGGACATATTTGCAGCAGGAGAATCACATGCAGGTCCCCTTAAAGAGGAAGCGTGAACAGTGATCCGAATCAGTCAGCTGCACTGAGGACCATGTGTGCATGCGTCCTCCTTCCCTCTCATTCAGCTGTTTTAAAATGACACCTCCCCCCTCCATCCCAAATCCTGCTCCCGCTCTGAGTGCAGTCATTTCTAGTGCAGAGAAATGTCCCTGGTGACACTGAGGGATGACGCAGGCTCTCTCTTCTTTTCTCTGTCCCCCCACCACCACCACCACCACCACCACCACCACCAGCTCCACCATATTTTCCCTCTTTTGACTTGCTCTCCCCTTCTTTTTTTGCTCTGGCACTCCCCCTTTCTCCATTTCCTCTTCTTGTCTCCCGCTCTTCTTGCTTTCTCCCCCCTCTCTTCCCTCCTTCTCTCTCTCTCTCTCTCTCTCTCTCTGCTCGGGCACTGCAGTGCTGATTGTGATTGCACACACACTCACATGCAAGCACACGTACACACACACACACACACACACACACACACACAGGAGCGTAGCTGAGAGGCAAGGACTGCAGCAGCATGCACCAACCGCGGCTGAGCTGCTCGGGCACACGAGGAAGGAGAACGGAGGAGAGAAAATAGTGTGCTGTCTCACACCAGCCTGCGTGTGCATCTTTGCAGCGGGGGGAACGATGCATTTCAAGAGCAGATAGCTTATGTTATCCGGACTCCTCTGCACTGCCTCTGCATCCCATTCACCCTGCTCCTCCCACTCCAACTCTTCCTCCTCCTCCCGTCTACAGCATCATTAGACAGGACTACAGATTGACCGGGACTGGCAAGCGGTGGATGGTCAGGTTTGCCCCAGCTGAAACATTTGTCTGTGGCTATGCTACATTTACACCTTCAGTGATGGCTGGATTGTAATCGACATTTGGAGCTAGAAGATAACCGGCAAGGAATCTTGGATGTGTGTGTCATTCTTTACCAGTGTTGTCATTGGCGCATTTCCTCTATTTCGCTGGTTGTTTTTGCTTTCTCTGAGACTGGCTAGCAGGCACTGCAGCATCAGGACCGCAAGACCCATGAAGCGGTAGGGCATGAGGACCCAGGGGCAACCCAAAGGAAGGGCTTGAGTGCTTCCATTGCTACCACTGCTGCTGAGGTGCTTATCTTGATTTTTTTTTTCTCCAGAAAAGGGTGTCTGGTGGGGGTTGGGGTGGGTGGTGACAGCACAGGTACCCAGGCCCCTGCAGAGCAGAGCGGGTGGCTCTTGCGTCGAGGCAGGCAGGACGTCCTGTGGGAAAGGGGGGGAGAAGGGCTGGCTCGAGCGTTGGGCTCCTGATGGTGGCTATTTTTGTCTTCCCTAGCTGAGTGATTGGGACAGCGGGTGGAAGAGAAGATGCTTATGGCCCGAGACACAGCGCGGGATGAGGCTCAAAAGCTACACAGGAAGTGGCTAAAGCACCAGGCCTTTATGGCCGAACTGGCCCGCAATAAAGAATGGCTGGCCAAGATAGAACAGGTGAGTGTTGAAGGGAGGGAGGGCTGGATGGGGAGGTCAGATAGGCAGAGCAGGTGAGCTGGGGAGAGGTTACCATGCCAAAGAGAGCACATGACGTGAAACAGGGTTGATGGTGGGTGTGGTGGCGGTAAAACTGAATAGGTGAAAGTGGGAGAGATGTCATCACACAGCTTTCATTTCATCTCTTGGATTGGGGACATCCTGAATTACATTCTCAAGGTTATATTGTTATAGTGGCTGTATTATTTTCAGGTTCACAGGTGGTATAGTTCCTGTGGTTCTTTGGTGTTTTTGCACAGAGGTTAGACCATCTGAATTTCATTGCTCAGTTATGGAGGTTACAGTGAAACATATAGAGGACACGTGAACCTTTGAAGGCCACACATACAGAGAACATAATGCTTTCATTTTTGTACATTCACAAATGGCCTCTCACACACAGATGATATAAGGTCAGTTCCACTTCATGAAAACATTCACAGCTTCGCTTTTGTGCCCCGCATTCCCATGATGCTTTGCCACCCTGACAGAGCAACATCCCATACACACAGAATGTTCTCCATGCCCTCTGCCTCAGTGATGCTCAGGTGGGCTCTTGAGATGTAAATTAGTCAGTGAGACTCCATTTCTGCTAATGGCACATTGCATTTGGCCAGTTTAAAGTAAGAAATATATTGCTGCTCTCGATGAGCTTAGTTAAGTGAAATTTGCATAAACCATAAATTTTGCTTATAACGTAGAATGTGGATTGTGTACAAATGTGTATGTGTCAGTATCTGTTATCTGTTCAGCGCATCCTTTGATACTTAGGCTATTACTATTTAAACAACTGATTCAGGTATGCACTGTAAATGTGTAATGATGTGTAATAGTAGATTCAGATTGATGAGGGGGATGTGGTTAAACTAGGAAGTGTTATTTTGCATTCACCCCAAGCATCATATGAACATTAGCAAAATGTCAGACTGATACAATTTTTGCAGCTGGAATCCTATAATTCCCCCATTTTTTCTAAATATTTTAATCATTATTTTCTCATTAGGAAATTAAGGCAGGTTAAAGAGCAGATAACCAATTTCCTTCCATTTCAGTGGCTAAATGCTGCACCAAGGCAGACTCTATCAATGCACAATGATTTACTGTGCAAAGTTTGTTCTGTCACCAATAATTTTGATTATTTGATACAAAGCTTTCTTACTTCAACTTGAAACATAGAACCAAATGAATGATTCCAATCAGTCCTGTAGGCAAAGTGTGTGACTAAAATACTTTACAAGTAGCTCTTAGACTCATAAAAATAGAAGCTGAATAATGTAGTTGCAGTGTTGGTGAGGTTTATCAGACGTTGACCTTGCTAAAAATGTATTTACATATCTGACAATACCCTGAGAGGTGTTGTTGACATTTCCAAGCGTTTTAATTATTAATCTTTTATTGAATACATTAAGAAATTCATTAGACTGTATAGATTTTTACACATTATTTTTTGTAGTCTATACAGTACTATTAAATATTCATAAGACAGCAGTGTAACTTATTATAACCATGGCACTTGAAGACAAGCCCTACTACTGAATAGTACCTAATGAGGAAATCCTCATTAGCCGTCTTGGTTGTTCATGTGTGATATGTATTTTAAGGTTTACCATGCTACAGTCTAGAACCCCCCTCCCCTCCCCCATTAAGCCAGCAGACACCTCGACTTAGTTCAGTCACGATGCAAAAGAGCTAAAAGATGATTTCCGCATACCAATCAATGTGTACTTTTAACAGATGACATGTCAATCCTGAAATGATGAGTCAGTTTAAGGATTGGTCTATTGACAGAAAATGTGTGATTAGTGATTAATCATTTTGGTCTAAGTCATTTTTTTTAAGCAAACACAAACCATTCTCTAGTTCCAGCAGTTTTTAAAGTGATCAGCTAGGTTTGTGCATCTCAGTTTATGAATGCTCTGGGTTTAGTTGATGTTGAGAGGTTAAAGGCATTTGAGGAGTAGAAGAATGATATAGCTCTACAGCCAAAAAAAAAAAAGAAAATCAGATGGTGGAACATTGTTTCTATGTTTAAAGAAAACTTGGAAGGTTTGTTGTCCTGATCATATGCGTGTTATCATATTCAACACTGGTAAAACAAAATGAAATGCCTTGGATGGAGAATCGCTCAACAGAAGCTGGACACGAAGAGTGAAAAGCAACATATCTTAGTTGGAGTGTCTGGTCAGCACACATGAGTTTATGATCACAGTTAACTGAGCTTTACACTAGTTAGAATGTGTGGGAATATTTAAAAGCCTTTCACCATCTTCACCATTGCATTATTAAACATAATTTACAACTATATTCAGTGTTATAGTAAATTGATTTGTCAGCTGCACTTTAGGTGCCACAGTAAATAGAAAATACATTTCTTAAGACAAATGTAAATGTATTATTACCTGTTCAGGATGTTCATTAGTGAGGTGTAGCCCATAGTTCTTTTTTGGTATTTTGCCTGTATGGGATAGTTTACAGTAGAGATACAGACAGGAAGCATAGGGAAAGGCAGAGGGTACAAGGGTCCTGGACCAGAATTGAACCACTGACATTGTAGTTATATGGTATGTGTCTTCGACCACTCGGTCCCCATGATACCGACTAACCCATAACCAGATGCCTTTCATGTATGTGCACAATTAAGTTTTAATATTTCAAGTTTAAAAGAATACAGTTAATGTTCTGCCTATCATTTGACTCTACTCAGAAAGACATGGAAAGGTCCTCTGCCTAGAATGACATCTCAGCTTGAAATGAAAACAGACTGAAACAGGATACTGCTTTACTTCTGAATTATCAGCGTATTTGCATAACCTTTCATGCCAAATACCAGATAAATCATCTGAAAGGATTGACACTGAGTGCAGAAGATGGCTGCTCCACTGAGGCTCTCTCGTGCTGACTGGCATGAGTTCCTGTGTACGTAGCCCAGTATGGATGGTTACAGACCCACATGTCTCCATACAGTAGTCCTGCAAACAACACTTAATCTACCCCCATCGCGCTCTGTCGTTACCTGAGAGACAGAAAGAAAAGATGACGGCGCGTCCTGCCATGATCGGAGAACTCTGCGTCCTTTTGGAAGGGTTCCCGTCTCAGCTCCTCACCTCTGTTCTCTCTCAGTACTTACTCAGCACATGAAACCAGGCGCACAGCTTCGGTCCTGCTTGTGTAGGTGGAGGATCTGTCGGTGCATCTCTGTTACAGTGAGATTCACAGCTGACCTTGATCCAAGCCTTACCATTGGCTCAGGGGTCAATGCTTTGTAAACACTAGGCTGAGTGCACCATTATCTGTATCTGTTAAAACAGCTAAGTTATCTGTATCCATATCTGTCCCCAGAATGGGCAGGGTTTTAACCCGACATGGGCAGGACTAACTGGAAGTTGACCTCAGGCCTGAAATTGACGTGGTTTGATCAGAAGTTGCAATATTCATTAGAAAAATATTAACAGAACAGCTTCAGAGCTGAGCTTCAGAGTAATGTTTTTGATCACAATAGTAAGAAGACTAATTACCCAAGTTTTTATTTTCTTAAGTTTTTTTAAAAGTAAAGTATATTTGTTTATTAGAAAACGGATATTGACACACTTTACCTTGATGATACTTGGAAAAAGTACATTCTCTGTACCGGATACTCATTCCAGCAGAGTACTCGCTCCACGGTAGTAAACACACTGACAAACCATGATCCTGTCTAGCTGGAGAATGTAGGCAAGTTTGTAGCCTCTTCATAGGGTCTGGTACCCAATACATTTTAACAGTGATTAGTTAAGAGTTCATGTCCACATACACTGTATATCTGAAATATTAGCTGCATCTTGATATTTAGCTGCTGCCCCATTTGAACAGTCACAAATCTTAAAAATTCTACAATTAATTAATATCATCTTCCTTCTTTGCATGTGATTGGTTGCACATTAGTAAAGGAAATTGACAAAGGATGGTGTCTTTACTCCAACACATACATTCAGCGTATTTGTTTCAATAAATTTCATGATATTGATAACACAGGTTTAGATGATAAAATGAATGATGGCCAAATTCCATTTAGCTACTTCAGTTTCAGGGTGCAGGCTTTGTGCATCACTGTCACACTGTCGTGACTTCCTGGGACACAGAGCCTAACTAACATACTTACATTAACCCACATCCTTATTCTCTTCATAAACCTAACCGAGCAGTTTTGTTGCCTAAACCTAACCAAATTGTGACCGTTTCACAAGGTTATCCACGTGTTTATTATTGCTACCATGATGGTGAAGGTCCAGTATGCCGGTCACTCCCCAACAGTCATATGTTGTTTAGGTATGAGGACATGTTGGTTTTTCCTATGATGACGAGTCAAACTGTCTGCTTTGTAAAACGCCCATATTTTCCAACTGCACTACCCTAAAGCCATTTTTATAAAATTTCTGGGAACTGTAGGTTAAGCAGATATTACTCATACAGGTGTAAATTGTTGTTGTGCATTTGTTTGGGTCTATTTTCAGCAATAACCTACATTTGGTGCTGGTACTGATGTTCACATTAATGAAGGGACATGTCACCAGGGTATGGTGTGGCTCATTAATGTGTTTAATTGAACTACAGTTGAACTAGAAAGAATCTAACATCCCCCCTCTCTGCTTTTTAGATTTTTGATACTGTAATTGTATTTACAGTTAGTATTTTAAGGTCATGTTGTTTGTTGATGCTACATCTTGATGTCTGACATCAATAATCCTATTGTTTTTTATGACCAACTTGGCTCTGGCTTGTAACAAAGGGGTTCACACACAACGGTTCTAAAAGCCCAATAACTGCATTTAATACATAAGAAAATGAGGTGGAGTGTGGAGATATGAATGTAGGCAGTAGTGTGAGACATGTATGGATGCATCTGTAACAAATGCAAGCCCAATCCAAAATAAAGGCTGTTGAGAGCATTCCCTAGAGAGCAACCCTTTTGTGCCTTTGGCCCC